AGGTTACTATAAAGGTCAAGCTAAACTGGCAAGTAAAATTAGTAGGGATTCTCTGGATGCATACATTAAGTCGAACTCGACTCATAAACGAGTAGATATGTTTTATTTTTGGATACGACTCATAGGACTTGTGGAATTGAAAAATAAATAAATAAAACATAGTAAATAATCTTTTGATTAAAGGGGTGTTCTTTCAAGAAGATTCAAGGTTACAACACAAATGTCTCTCATTCAAAGCTAAAGAATCAAGAGGTTAACCTACCTGGATTAATGTTTCGCTTCCTGTGTCTTTGTACATTCCACTGCAAGTATATCACATGAATGCCAAATTATTTCTGGAATGTTCGATCAACGTGAGATTGGTTCTGTAAAAGAAAGCAATAAACGGTTTACAGGTATTTTTTCAAGGTTTCATTCCCACATATTTTTTCAGATTTTTACATAAGAAGATATACATGATATTGATGCCATTTTGGCATTGCTGATTTTACAAGCACATAAATACACCTTCTGCCCTTCTCCATCTCAATCTGTTCAGATCTATTCATTTTATCTCATCATTAATCTAGATTAATCTGTCCATATCTGTCTTGGTAGTTCGGAATGAGAATCGGAGAGCCGGGTTCGAATTCCAGTCGGGTTCGTTACATTCAACTACGTGTGAATATACTCTGGAAATTATGAATCTGTTTCCCTCAACTATGAGTTAAATAGTTGGAATTGTATTAGTAAAAAAAACACTGTTATTCCCAAAATTGGTTAATGCAATATTCATTTGCAAAAAAAAAAAAAAAAAAAAATCTTACAATACAAAAATATGTTTCGGCTTTAAATAATCAACAAACCGTAAAAACCGGTTGATAAACCGTAAAAATAATCCGTCAATCATGTGTGTATTTTTTGCGTATTCCCTAACAATGTGAGAAATATCTATCTATCTATCTATCTATCTATCTATCTATCTATCTATCTATCTATCTATTCCTGTTCATCTCTCTCTCTCTCTCTCTCTATATATATATATATATATATATATATATATATATATATCAGTCTGTTCATCTATCTATTTATCTCAGACTGTTTATCTATCTATCTATCTATCTATCTATCTATCTATCTATCTATCTATCTATCTATCTATCATTAAATGATTAAGTAAATAAATAAATGTGTCACCGCTGATATGACAACCTCACATTCTTGATTCTACGGCAATTCTGGTCATTCACATGTCCACTGTAATGGTCATTAATAGCAAACTTATTTCCGTTCTTGAAGCACTGCCGTCTCTTGGATCTGTGCTACACTCCATGATTCACATGGCCGCAACAACAACGTTGTTCTGTGATCGTGACCAATTATTTGATCCTGACCTACTCCCCAGTCCATTCACCCGAGCAATTATATTTAATACTATCCCAGCACATTAATCTTCCTTGCGAACTATGCACCCTAACCCTTTAATAGTTCACTCCATGCCTTTAATGGATTCGTCTTTACACCCCATTCGACATATTTAGTGGAATATTCTTGTTCGAGATAATGCTGTTTTGACCCTGTATTCCTCCGTTACTAGGTTTTTTCTGTCATGGTTTTACATTCTCCCGCTCTTATTTAAAAGATTTTCTTATCTCCCTCTTTATTATTATTATTATTATTATTATTATTATTATTTCTTATGGACACATTATTACCAAGTCTTTGATTTCAGGCGTTTGTTGTTATAGCCACATTTCATTTAATTTTTTTTTTTTTTTTTATCTCCGGTTGCCGTTACCAAAGTTCTCCTAAGTGTTGTGCTGTACTTAAAAGACAATATTATCATTATTATTATTATCTTTGATTTCTGGCGTTTACATTTCTTTCACCCGACCAGGGACCTGACAAAAAAAAAAAAAAAAAAAAAAAAAAAAAAAATTACATAAATAAAGCCCTTCAAGGTTTGGGCTGTACTTGTCAGAACAATTTTTTGTATCTCCTTGAGGCATGGACTTCCAGGAATCCCTTCAATTAGTCTACTGCAATCTTTTCCAACCAGTCCTAGGGCTCCAACTACAACAGGGATTGTTGATGTTCCCATATGCCACATTTTCGAGATTTCTATTTCAAGGTACTTGTATTTTGACAGCTTTTTGAATATCTTCAAAGATACATTGCAGTCAGCAGGGACTGCCATGTCAATAAGGAGGCACCGTTTTTGTTTGTGGTTTTTAATAACATTATTATTATTATTATTATCTAGTGAGGGACCAACACGCTAACAAAATGACAACTATACGAAACTTAATATATCCGTCATGAATGACACCCAATGGTACACCAGGCACATGTGTCACAGCCAAATGTGATCGATAAGATGACAAGTTTCAAGTTTGATAATACAGTCGGCTCAGTCGGTCTTCGACAGAGAGCTCGGGAGTATCTGGACATGACTGCCAAATCAACTTGGCTAACGTTCAAAAATCCCTCGACATCCGGTCATGGGGTTCCTTTCTACTCGACCTACCTAACTGGTTAAGCTCAGGCAACTGATAAGCAAAACTTCAACTGGATATTTACTATTTACCTTAATTCTACAAGAAAAAACAAGTATATCAACAACTTCAATTAATTAAGATCAGAAGACTTGTGAATCATACCTGGTTTAATATCAAGATATTTATTATTATTACTGTTATTATTCTTAAGATGATTCAAATTTTCCAGTATTTGTTTTCATTTAAATTAAATTTGTAAATATTTAGCCAGCTTCCCACCGGCTTAAGCAATATTTCAACGAAATTGTGTAATAGAGGCATTCCCGCCTTACTTGAGGTGAACTGCTTAAAAAAACCAACCTCAATAGGTTATTTAGTCTCGAAGAAGACTTTTACAATATGTTTGTATGAATAGAATCTGTATTCTTTGCAAGAAATCAGTTTGTAGATCAGGTTTTATTGACGTATTTTTGTAAAAAGAATTTTGTCGAGTGTCAAATCTATTGTTGGCAATATTTTTATTTAAAAAATGTATTGCTGGTAATATTTTTTCTTCAAAAATCTATTGCTGGTAATAATGTATTGCTGGTAATAAATTTTTACAAAAATATATTGATAGTATTAAAATCTATTTTTAAACTTTCATAGTGTTTTCATCCCAGTTTAGGGGTCAACTATTTACCCATAGATGGGACCCTACGAGGTTCTACGACTCAGGGTCAGAGAGGACCTGGAAACACCAGCAATCAGGGGGTGGTTCCACGCCCCTCAAAACCTTCTGATCAGAGGCCTTGCTGTTGCATTTAGTTTATCGTCTTAGCCAGGACGCCTCATCTGTGGGGGTCTTACCCCTCTGCAGAGGTGCAGTTGGCGTATTCTGAAGGCCCAGCCGATGGGGCGGTTTCTTCTTTTCTTGAACGCATCAGGGTGGTGATGATGATTATAGCCAAATATGATAATGATAAACAACGCTATATATTATCAAAAAAAAAAAAAAAAAGAAAAGAAAAAATAGACTACAGACAGATCCTCACATGCAATAGAGAATAACCATATTTACAATTCTTTTTTAATTTAAAAAAAATTATCTTCTTTGATCCCCCCCCCCAAACACTCGTATATTTTAAGCCTCAAGCGAAAAAGGAGTTTTCTTAACAAATCACTTATAGACATGTTTTTCCAGAGTCTCTTTCTCATTTGGGCCTTAAAACATAGAAGCGCTTTCGGTACATCAAAAAAGATAATTATAACTTGTTATCTATCTATATCTATAATTTTCAAAATGTATGTGTGTGTGTGTATGCGTCAATAGTCACCTATCCTGTATATCATCATCGTTTTTGCTTCCTAGTAATGAAACACCTGGTCGAAGACGAGTTATACTGCTAGTTTTTACTAAAAATTAAAATGACTACTATCTATGATACAGAGAAAGTACTTAAGCCCTTAACTTCCGGTCTGCTCTTATTTTCTTTCCTCTCTAATCAACTCATTACAAGGCTAAACAAAACAGAATTTACAAATCTCTCCTATTTTCCTTTCTTCTTCCTCTTTCTCTCTTTACTTTAATTCATGTCGTCAAACACTATAATTACACATAATATCTTTATTTCTTTTTCTTCTTATCAGTTCGTTGTGAGAGCGGGAGAAGTTACTTTTTTTTCTTCCTATTGATGATAAGAAGGAAGTCTCTTTTTTTTTAATTCTCTTTTTCACTCTCACCTAAAAAGCTGGGATCTGAAAAGCGACCCACTCTGTAGCATGCATCAAATCTGCGTAACGCTTCGACCTGGTACCAGGAGGCGCCAAGAGCTGAATAGTCCCTGTCTTAAACAGCGTTTCAATTTATACTGAAAAAATTCTAACAAAAGATGAATTTCGCAGCCGATTCTAAATTTGGTTTTAACATTTCATTACATTAAATCGACTCATTGTCGTTCATAATCGATTCTTATATTGGTTTTCCAAGTTTAGCTTGGATGTGGTACAAAGCCGAAAGTAAGGAGCACCCAGTGAGGTTTGAACTCACTACTCTATCGTAATTGTTCTAGCGAGACAAGCTTGTTAACCATTACACCACCTCGAGGTGCCCTAATCGATTCTTATATTGTTTAAATCTATTCAATATATTTTATTTTTCATCGCGATTTTAAAAGTAGTTTCAATAATCGACATCTATGTTGGGTACCCTTTGGAATCAAAAGTAAAAATAATCTCTTATTCTTTCTTTTGGCATCCCGTGGTTGGTTTTCGGGAAAACTGTACAGACCCACGTGTCTACGTTTGACTATCAGTGCGGAAAACGGAATCAGGGAGCCAATTTTAAATTTGAGATTAACCCACTGCGTTCATTCTCGCATTAATCCGTTTAAATCCATCTCTTATCCCCTCAGCCATAGGTGAAATAGCAGAGTAGATTGGTGTTTTCCAGCCTTGAGTGGCAGCAAATCTGAGAGGAGGACTTTCCTGAATTGGAGAAAGCAACGAGAAACAAAAACTAATATCCTTTCAAAGAATCATGAGACCACATCACGTTGAAACACCAGTTCCCGTACGATCAGCGAAGTTAAGCAACGTCGTGTCTGGTCAGTACTTTGATGGGTGACTACCAGGCGATATAAGCTTGGATGGTGTAGTGAATAATGGCTCGGAATTGTTAATTGGAGAACCGATTTCCAATCCCAGTGGGGTTCGTTATATGCACTTACGCACAAAATACACCTGTTCTCGCCACATCTATGGGTTAATTAGTAAAAATAGTATCTCAAAAACATTATTTAAAAAAATAGATAAATAAAAATAAAATAAAACAAAATTGCGTCCAAAATATTTATATTTCAGCATTAAATGGCCCATGGAGGTGTTGATATACCGCTAAAAAACAAAAAAAAAAAATCTAACCAACCAATCCTGGCAATTTGCATATAGTAACAAAAAAGATCTTTTGGCAATAATAGACATCGGGCATACTATTCAAAGAATCTGCATTAATTTATCGAATGACATAAACATACCGTTGCAATCATTGGTTTGTTAAAATTAATCATGGGTTTGTAAAATCTATATATATATATCTACAGCATACAGACATACCATCTCGCAAACCATTTTTGATACGAGCTTGCACCTACTGTATTGTTCGGCTGTCTCGTTGTCATCAGATATTCCCAGATTTAAAAGAGAAATCTGTCTGAGTTTTTTTTTTTTTTACATTTAGAACACAGGGGAAATAAAGGTGGTTCGACTCCGTGGAAGCAGCATGACGTGTCCTTGAAGTAAATATTTGAACGGGTGGAATTAAAGATGTTATAGAATGAATTCACGTTGATTAAACAATAGGAAATCCTCAAAATCAAAATCAAAATAATTATATTGCTGATAATCGTTATGCTTTTATGACGGCCTCAATTCTTTGTGAGTTGGACGCAATGAACTCAAGGAGCTCCTTTGTCATGAACCCCTATTAGGATTAAGCTCAAACCTGACCTCAAGTAAAACTTGTATGTACAATCCAACACGTAGGATACTGGAAAAATCGTCTTAACTTTCCAATCTCGATAGAGTCCAAAAGAGTCTACGCGGACTTATGGGTGATGAATTGTTTTCCACCGTACAACTACTTTTTAATTGATGAAACGTTTCAAGCTTCTCACTATTCTATCGTTGTTTCCATGGAAAATGTTCTGACGAGTTCCACTGCTTAGTTTCACCAAGTCTAAGCTTCACAGCTAAGAGTCATCATTGTGGCGAACTAGCCCTCATTATCTTCATATATCTTTAAGAAGAACTAAGTTCCAATGGAACAACAACAACTCACGAATTGCTACTTCGTGGAAGAGTCTCCCAAGAGGATGCTTCCCCAAGAACTATAATCTTTTCAAGTCTAAAGTTAACGGTTGCTTTCCCACATATTTCCATAAACTGCGGCTCTTACGTCTTACTCTTTTCACGCACACAACAAATTCCTAGAGTAACCATCTATCTCGAGTGGCTCTTGGGTCTTGCATAGGGTGCACATTATTAAAATAAGTTCAACTGACCAACAAAAAATGCTTGTGGCATAGACTTTACTGATGTAAAACAATATTCACCATGAAGCCTATTCCTCGAAAAACCATTGGCACATCGGCTTTGCAGAATGCAACTTTCTCATTGGCTAATTTTAAAGATTATAACCATGGATCTTTTAATTGGATTTATATCTGGGTCATGGAATTGAATCATGTCTTATTTTGGGGGAAAAAGTTTTATCACTTTCCTGTATACAAACTTTCAATGTCCACCTCAGCGTTCAGTGTTGAGGCAAAGATAGCAATCTACCATTATTTATCTGAAGTCCGAACCAATATCTTAATGAAGTCAGTAAATTCACTTGTTATCTTCAAGCAATCACTATATATTTAATTCTAACAAACTTTGCAATATCATTGCCTTGATCAAAAGAGATTCATGATTCATAACTGCCACTAAGACGGAAAGGGTTACTGGGAGTGGAAGAGAATGAGAAAACCTTAGTGAAGAGAAAGAACCATAACAGAACTGAATTTAGGAAGACAGAAGACGACGATTGATGTTGTATTTGAATTTTTGAAGATTGTGTAGGGTAGAGAAGCAGGAAACCAAAAAAGAGTTCCACAGGTGAAAAGTGTGAGAAAAAATAACTATTAAAATAGAACTTGAAAAAACACTACACATACAATTTAGGATATCATATTCAGAAAAATCTAAGCATCAAATTACAATTGAAAAAAAAAAATCTGTCTGTGCGTCAATGCAATACTCGACAGCAGGCCATTGTATGAAACCCAACATTATTATTTCCATTTGTGGGTAAACATCTTCATGGCTTGGGGTTTGTCTATTTTATCATCTGCATGTTTTACCATTCATATGTTTTCTTGCTGTATAAGACTGGCGCCTAGTAATTATCAGTTCAATTAAGACATTCAGAGAATAGCTCCCTTGGCTCCATTAAACAATAGATAAACGATTAAAATATAGATATTTTCACTTGTCATACAAAGTATCAAGTTCATTTTATTTGCGTGCCAGAGTACTAAATAATTTTTTTTTTTTGCTGTTTCATTTGCAGCCACCGTAAAATTTTATTATTTGTCGTAATTAAATGAGAAACTGGCCGTCCCCTTAAGGTAACATCGTAAAGGCGGTAACACAAGGGGAAATAGGAACATTATGCGTAGCTGACCACATATGGAGGGAAAAGCGTGATCACCGCCCTCTGTGGGATGAGGTTGAAATAATAGACAGAGATAATCACCGGAAAATACGAAAACTTAAGGAATCAGCACATACGCTAGGCCACAAAAATCTTCTTAGTCGAACACGCATAGAAATGATTACAATATGGGAACCAGTAAGTAGGAGTGCCAGAGAAAAGCAAAAGTGCACTATAAGCTCTGATAAAAAAAATGCAATAATAATAACAGGAAAATTGCAATATGAGCTCTAGTAAAAATGTTTGCTGAGTCATTAGGTTTATAAGTCCCAGAAATTCATACACAGATGTCCTCAAGGACACATGGCCCAGACATTGGTTAGATCCAATGACTAGACCCAAAGAGTTGTGAGTTCAATAGCAGTGGTGAACCAAAACTTGGATAGTCGAGTTAAAGGAAATATCTGAGACATCCGTAAGAGGCATGGCACGTGGAACTAGAACAATCTATCCCAGTGGACGAAATAAAGGGTTCGGTTCTGCATTCCAATCATTGGAAGTAGGCCGGAACGTACACTGGTCGAAACGTGAATATTGCAATGCAGATGAGGATAGCAATCCGAATAATGTAAGTAATCGTAATACCTCATCTCAGAGATATAGAGAGGTAAATAAAGGAGTTTCATAGGTTTAAGTGCGAGAAAATAACATATGATCGGGGCCGTGAGCCTGTCAAAAAAAAAATGATATAAATACACACTGATGAAGGCGCTGAAACTTCTGAGCAAGAACAATGTCCTAGAATCATGACACGTAGATTTTATTTCACTCTGTAGCCGGAATGTTTAGCTATTAAAAAAAAATGACGATATATTTATGATGTACTTTGTTGCTGTCAAGTATTGTATGAATTTCTTTTAGATAAACAGGTATTAATTACATTTACCGGTTGAGTGTTCCAGAAGTTTCGTAGAAAATATGCGCTTCTCCAACAGGAATCGAACCTCTAACCTCAATGGGAGCCATCATTTGATCTGATGTGCTGCTAACTATTCAGCCATATAGAAGTGTCTGGTTAGCAAAGTCCGAATTACTGTTTATAAACAATAAATTTTCGACTATTTTTCGCTAATGATCATATCTGCTTACGAGATCAACTGATGGCTCTCATTGGAATTACAGGTTTGAAATTGATTAAATATCGTCATCACGAAACATGAGATTATGAAGAAAAAGTGACTTGTTTTCGTGGAGGTTAGCATCAGCCATGCTGATGTAAGACAAAAAAAATAGTTTTTTAACACTTTGAGCCTTGACCACCGCTTTACCGGCGGTAGAGGAAATTGACGTAATGATCAGCCACCTGTTGAACAGTGGGTAAACACTTGTAACTATTTTTATATCTGAAATACTACATACCAATTATTTGACTCTCAAGAAGGCGAGAACGTACAACTGCCGAAACGTGAATATTGCAATGCGGATGAGAATAACCGTCTGAATAATGTAAATAATGAGAATTTTGACTCAGATGTTCAGGCAGAAGGGTTAAAATTGTTCAGGAACGCATGGCTCAAAGAGTTGAGATGATTAAAAGAGATCAATTTAGTTTTAGAGATGTTATAATTTCAATAATCTATAATTTTAATTAATCAATTTATAATTTTCGAATCCGCCAGCCGGCCCTAAAGTTACTATAAGCCAAAAAGTAGCTTAGGCCTAAAGGATTAATGTTTAAGGAAACTTTATCCAATAATGGGTTAATTTCGTTATTATTATTGGATATATGATTAAACCCTTGGGGAAGAGAAAATAGGCTCGATGTAAGGTAGTAAATAAGCTATTAAAAAGAAACTTAACATTTAATCTTATCAATTCTTTAAAATAAAGAGATGCCCTGTCGGGTGGAGCTGTAGAATACGCTGACTGCACCTCTGCAGAGGAGTAAGACCCCACCAATGGGCCGTCCCGGGTATGACTATAAGCTACGTCCAACAGCAAGGCCTCTGATCAGGAGGCTTCTAGGAGCGTGCAACCACCTCTTAATTGCTGGTGTTTCCAGGTCCACCCTGACCCGGGGTGGTAGCACCTGTTAGGGTCCCAGCTATGGGCAAATAGTCAACCCCGAAACTAAGGTAAAAAGCATTATAAAAGTGTAAAAATAGGTTTTAATACCAGAAAAAATTATTACCAGAAATTAATTTTTGAAAAAACAAAACAAAACAAATATTACCAGCAATACGTTTTTGAAAAAAACCCCAAAAAAACAATTACCTGCAATACATGTGATTGTACTAAAAAATATGAGTAATTGAAAAATGGTTCAAATATATATGTATACATACACATCTTTTTTTTACCAAACTATCACTATCTATCTATTTAAAAAATTTTGATGGCATTAAATGACTTACTGAGGTTGATATGCCATAAAATA